CAATGCTTATGGATGGTAAGATTTAAATTTCTGAGAGGACCACGGATGCTTAGGACCCTGAAGCTGCCCTTGGAGGATGTCTTCAGGCCACAGATTCGAATCCTGCTAGTGATTATTTAATTTGGGCCGATTTTTCACCTCTGAGTAAAATTATACGTAGGTTTACTTGACAGAGTAACAAACAATAGCCCAATAAATTAATCAGCAACTTTACTCAGAGGTAATGTATTAAATATTAATTCTAATGCATAGGTACATTATTATTAATATTATTATTATTATACATAATATCTAGTGGAGATGCATTTCGTTTATTGTATACTATACAAATAAAAGTTTATAGTATTATAAACACGATATTGTAATAACTATGACAATCATGTTCCAAAAAATAACTTTCAAAATCTTTTAATTCACAAGGTTAATAAAGAGATTATACCGTAATTTTTTTGTAATAATATTAATATTTTTTATGGAGATCAGACGACCTTACTATCAATAAGACCTTATCTAATATTTGTTATATAATTAAAATTTAAAATGTATGCAAAGTACATCAAATGCTGTCATTTCAAAATATATTTCCAATCTCAAGAGTGAGAATGTTCACATTCTGTTATCAAAATTGATTTCGGAAAAATTATATATAAGAGAAAAAAGCTTTTACTACAAATTTGATTAAAAAAAATTTGTTTTGTGGTAAATAATATGTTGTGACTCAATAAAATATCTAAATCTAAACTCGAATTAGAAAAATAAAATATAGTAGATCAGATTTTAAAATAATTACACACAGAGATATTATCTACAGCTAGGAGTTCGATTTGTTCGAAAATGAACACCATTGTTCAGATTTCTTTAGAAAATATTTAACAAAAATTGAACGATTATACCCGGTTAAAGATTTTCAAAAACCACTATTATATCAGCACCTTCTGCTCGAATCTAAAATAGGGATGAAGTGGATTTGATAGGGTTTTTTATAGATAGGTTAAATCGAAATGTGCCAAATCACTTGCAGATCATTATCAAAGGGATATGGGCAGTGTCATGTGTGTTGCAGAGATAGAACAAATCTGGAACGAATTTGTTAATGATAGGTGGGATGTTTTTTTAGAAATAAGGGAAATAGGAAGTACCTGTTCTGGTACCTATAAATTTGATGGGAAGATAGTATATGTAAGGGAATATAGTTAGGTAGAAAATTACGAACACCAGAGATAACAGGAGGACACTATGTTCTTCGACACCAAAATTTATTAGATATAAGAAAAAAATGGTAGTCACAGTAAATATTCAGAGGTCGAAGTAGTAGAGGTTCCTGACCCTCTATAAAATAATCATTCCAATCTAATCTGATTGTTGATATATCAAGAATTATCAGCCAGTGCACCTAGAACGTACTGCAATTTCTGTATTATTTACTTTCATGTAGAATTTCCGTCAAAATATTTATAAAATTAGGTACACTTTTTAGCTCATATAAAATCGTAGGGGATTATTATAAAAGAGTTATTTGTAGTGACCATTAGGATTATATATACATAGATCACAACAGATCATAGAACTGTACAACTGTCAACTATAGACGATTGATGTGATACTAATACAGAGTCATTAGAGACATATTGTAAGTTCATTAAGGTCAGCCACTATTAACCCCGCTCTTATTTCGACATCTGAATATGCGCAGATTCTTTTAAGTTCTAGAACACTGACTAAAGATAGTACCTGTCCTTAATAGTGTTTGTTTAACGGCAGCAAATTAACAAATTTATTATGTCATCAGTTGCGAAGGGAAATCAAAATTAAACCATTTTTGGTTTTAAAATCGCCTCGTAAAAAATGTTCAACCGAATGAAGAACATAGTAGAAATTCCTATTCCTAGGGTAACACCTAAAGAAGTAGCTAAGGATATCATCCCGGTATGATATGATTACAGGTGAAATACTTAAACAATTGTCAAGAAAAGCTGTGTAACAAAAAAAATATTATTATTGGAAGTTTACATCAAATGAGGGCACGTTGAGTTGTAGAAATAGAATTTGGTTGCACTTATAATCTAGTTTTTGTCCTTATTTTCCAGTCCAAATCAGCACAAAATAATTAAAACATAATACACGAAAAAATAACCCACTTTTTTGAAAACAAAACAACTTTAATAAGTCATCTAAACACACTACAAATTGTTGATAATAAATAATTAATATTATGTTCTATATGTCAATAAAATGATGCATTTACAACTAACAATACAAGAAAGTAGTAATACTGGTTGTCTAGACCAGTGGTCGCCAAACTGTCGATCGCGAGCTACCGGTAGCTCGCGGAGGCAATTCTGGTAGTTCTCACAACGATTTTAATTTAAAAAATACAAACTGCAAAAATCAGAGAAGCTTCCGAAAATTCCATAAAAAAATCTAATTGTCATAATATTAAACATAAACAGCGGCAACGTTGCGGTGAGCGATCTGCCGCTGACGCCATCAAGCTAGAATCGGCTAGAACCGACCAGCCGGACCAGCGCGTTAGTGTTCGAGAACGATCAGGATTGCTTTGAACAGGATAAATACGCACGGCGCGGCGACATTGCGCTTAGTTTAAAACTGAACGCGTAACCAACGTCCAGCAGTTGGGTTAGTAGAGAACAACAAAAAATAATATTATGACAAGCAGTTGTAAGAAGGTAAAGACATACCACTTTCATTCGGAATGGGAAGAACAATACTTTTTTACAGAAGTTAAAGATAAAAATGTGTGTTTGTTATGTAATACTTCGGTCTCCGGTGCTAAAAAAGGAAATATTGAGAGACATCATAAAACTGTACATACCAATTTTGAAAAATCATTCCCACTACATTCTGCCGCCAGAAAGGAGAAACTGAAACAGTTAAAAAAGCAGTTAATTGGACAACAATCAATATTTTTCAGAACAGTCGACAAAAATAAGGCTGCAACTGAAGCATCGTACCGTGTGTCCCAGATAATTGCACAAAAAAAGAAACCTTATGAAGACGGGGAAATGATAAAACAAGCATTTTTAGAAGCTGCTGATTCGTTATTTGCCAACTTTAGAAATAAAGACGAGATAGTTTCAGCTATAAAATCTATGCAACTTTCTGCTAATACAGTGATGAGACGTGTAGAAGTAATGAGCAATGATATTTTTTACAGTTAAGAACTGACCTTGATAACTGTGTTTATTTTTCACTTCAACTGGATGAATCAACAGATGTCGTTGACACTGCCCAGATGGCCGTGTTCGTCAGGATGGTTTTTAGTGATTTTACGATTAAAGATCTTTTGAAGTTTATTCCACTGAAAAATTATTTCTTCCGAGAAAATTCCAATATCGAAAATGGTAGGCTTGACAACCGATGGCGCTCCAGCTATGGTGGGTTGTGATAAGGGTCTGGTGGCGTTATGTCATAAAGATGAAACTTTTCCGCAATTTCTCTGTTACCACTGCATTATCCATCAGCAAGCATTATATGGAAATTTCCTGAAACTAAACAACGTTATGAAACTGGCGGTAAAAATTATGAATAAGATTAGAACTCAAACGTTACAAAGATTATTCAAAACCTTGGCCGATGAAGTTGACTGTCAATACGGGGACCTACTCCTTCACTCTGAAGTCCGATGGTTAAGTAGAGGACGGGTGCTGAAACGTTTTAATGATGTTCTATCTGGCATAGTTCAATTTTTCAAACAACGCGATGAACCGACTCCGGAACTAGAAAATTCAATCTGGCTTAGAGATTTTGGTTTTCTCGTGGACATTACAGATAAATTAAACGAACTTTATTTGCAGCTTCAGGGGAGAGACAAAGAACTAGCGGAAATGATTTCTGATATAAAAGCATTTATCAAAAAGCTGGAGTTTTGTGAACAACACCTAATTAACAGCGATACCAAGCATTTTCCTATTCTTTCAGAAAAAATATCTCAAAATCCATTAGAACCCTATAACAGCAAATATCATGTAGAAATAGTTTCTACCCTGAAGAATAACTTCAAAAATCGTTTTAAGGATTTCAACAAAATGGCTTTAGTAGCGCAGTTTGTTGTTTCACCCTTTATGGAAATTGATATCCAACAGTTTGCAACTTGTGTTATGCAGAACTTTGGCGAAGACATCGCTGCAACAGAAATGGAAGAAATTGAGTTTCAAAATGATTTAGCTTTAAAATCGTTAGTCTCAAGTACCAAATGTATCTGGCCTATCGTAAGTAAAGACAAATACTCAGTTCTATGCCGTGTTGCCTTGAAAGCGAAAGCATTATTCAGTTCAACCTATTTGTGTGAATCTTCTTTTTCCAATATGAAGTTTATTAAGAACACATATCGCAATCGACTTACAGATGAACATTTGGATAATTGTATTCGAATGGCTGTATCAAATTATACTGCACGTGCTTTTTTATTTTTCAATGTTTATGTTCATGATAGAGCGTTACTTTTTTGTTGTTATTATTAACTATTTTTAAATCTTACGTGACATGCCGTTGTGGCTGGATAAAAGTTTGTGTTTATTTTTCAAACACCTTCGTTTGGTAGGTAGGAATGTAGCTATGAACAAGTACGTACTAGTAATATTAGTTATTTTGTTATTAGTTTATTATTAGTACCTATGTATTATGTATTACCAGTTAAATAGTAAAATAAATACATATAATGATAAATTAACTGTGGATTATTTCATTTAGGTTGCGTTACGTGGCTTCCGTGTGTGTAGCTCGCTGTTTATTCCAAAATTAACAAAGTAGCTCAACACATTGGGAGGTTGGCGACCACTGGTCTAGATGTTAGTAATTTCTTACCAAAACACAATTTTATAAATAATCTAGTCAAAATTATAAAAAATATTGTCTGTAACACATTACTAAATGCCGCGGGACCTCGCTATGCTCGCAAATATTTACTCGTTACATAATATAAAACATTTCGTAATTGATTTCATAAATAACTATTATATTGATTTTGTTTTTCTTTACAGATGGATGATAACAGTGATACGTAAAGCAGCCAAAACAGGTTTAGATGTAAATGACTTGTACAAAGCAATGCAAAAAGATAAATCTGAACAACTAGGAGATCGCCTTGAACATAACTGGAACAAAGAACTTTTGAAATCCAAAGAGAAAGACTTTAAACCAAGTTTATTAAGATCCATCTTTAAAACTTTCTATAAGGAATTTATGTTGTATGGAGTTTTATGGTTTGTTACGACCTGTATACTTTGGTGAGTATTAATCAGGTTAAATCATGATTCGACAATTGATCTAATCCCTCTAATCACTTGAGCCCTTTACGGCGAAACTCCCTAAGCACAACGACAGTCAAATTAAATCATGCGCTCTAGAGTGTTACGGAATAATAACGAAATTACAATTTTTGGCGAAGGCACTGTCAAGAATATTCACGAATCTACCAAAATTTGAAATCGTACATTCTAGAACTCACTTGTTTTTAAATAGACTGTTTTGCTATTTGAACAGTCAGTTTAAGTCGAGATATTGTTGTGTTAAGAAATATGTTGGCAAAATAAATTACTAAATAAGTATTTGAGATAAATTAGAGTAGTATTAAGAGAATTTAAGTTCTAAATAAATTAGTGAATATAGTGTAAATAACAATTATTGTTTATTTTTTTCACTATTGAATCTGAAGTCATTTCCAAGCAAGATTATAATTTTTTGGCATCTACAAGATTGTCTAGCAATCGTGTAAAATATTGAAATTCTTAGTTTGCAGGATATAATAATAATAATAATGTGTTACAATATTGACTTTACTTAATGTTTTATACTATAAGACTACATACACAAAGTGTCGTATTATTTAATCTTTTTAAAATTTCTGATAATATTTCATACAAAGCACCGTCTTGTTTATATAAGTTGATTTTAGTTTATTTATAATGGGGGTAGCCACGTGTGAGTTAAGTTTCAAGGTTAGAAAATTTAATAGTGAAATGAAATATAAATAAATTACAATACCAGCGACTGTTTCCCCTTGAGGAAAACAACTACTCCGTACCGCAATAGGCACCGAATTATATCCAAAGGAAAACAGCAAAAATAGAAAATCATAATTATGTGATACTGGGTCAAACAACCTCGAAAACCAAACCTTTGTAATCAGCGACTCAGAAAAATCCTCTATACTGATTTCAGTTAAAATTAAGCAAGTCTTTTCAGAAGCTGTTCGTCTTATTGGATCGCCCATTTTGTATTTCAACAAAATAAAAACAAATTGGTAATTAGCGACCCACAAAGCACAATTAGACTAGGTAATAAAGAGAGGACGCGTAACAAGTATATCGAGCACACGTAGTAATCTGTGCCAATTATCTATTGGCCGCCATTATTTTGGTGTTTAGCATTTCGGTGACACCAAAGTTTTTTTCGTCATTATTTCTAATTTTTGAATTAAACGACATTTAATAATTGAATATGGCGCCACGATACCGTTCTTGGCGCTGCTTGCAGCGCATGTATGATCCAATGACATATATAGTTTAAATAGACTGCTTATCCATACGTAAATAAAACGATGAAAAGTGGGTCAAACTGGGAGATGTTTTCTCTTTTTCTAGTGCATGCAATGTTTGTGTTTTGTCTCAATTTTGAGTGCTCACTGGTAAACAAACCTTTCACAGGACCGGTTTTAAAGAAAGTTTAGTCTAGTTGAGATTTTGTTCTCATTGTCATTACTCAGTCGGACATTTTGTTGAATTGTTTATTTTATTTAGTTTTAATTATACTTATGTTCTGTTTTAAGTTTTTTAATTATTTGAGTTTAAAAACTTGTTTTGTTTTTAAATTTAAATGGTGAATTGCTCTATAAAGGTTTGTAAGACCAGCTACAGAAATATCAAAAGTAACATTTCATTTTTCACGCAAGTATCAGTACAAGTAGGTACAAGGTAAATACGTTCATAATAATTTTACGAATAATAATTAATTATAATAATAATATTAATAATAATAAAGTATTTATTGTAAATACAATTACATAAATATTATTATATTCAAAGGCCCGAGTTAGAGCTATTTGGGCTTTACAAGTACATTTTAAAAGTTAGTTAGATACAGAGAAGTATCGTATAATAAAAACTCAATATAAATAGAAGAAAAACGGACATAAGTACCAATACAGAGAGACAAACACTTTTATTCTTTGATAAGTTCTTTCTATGTGAATTCTAGCTCTGGCAATTTTGGCATTAAGTAAAGCCTCTTGATGGCTGAACTGATTTTTTTTATTGAGGAAAGGAGGCTGTATAATTTGTATACCTTCAGCTTCTGTTATGTTTCCAATAAGAAAACCTTTGTTAAACATTTTACTATCGAGAAATGATTCACACACTTCAAGTATTGAACTTTGTTAAAAAATGTCTATTTCTGAAGTTTACCACCATATGCTTCACTTTTGTAAGTAATGAGACCAGTAGGTGACACTCCAGTCAATATTTTAATAGTATGCCTCTTTTTGTAGTCAGAGTAATTTTTTAGCCTACAATAAAGACATTTGGCTTGCTGTATTGGGATTTCGGTACAATCAAGTAGTAGTACTCTTACTTACATAGAGGCACATTATTTAATATTTCTTGTTTTGAAGGCCGAATTATACCATACTAACAACTTCTACCAGTTTTATTAAAAACTGTTAAAAAATTTAACGATAAAAAGTTTCATTCACTCCAAATAAAATGAATAAGACATTATATCTTGCATATCAGTTTTCAACTTCATAAAAGTAAATATAACTTGATCCTTTACAGACATAACTGATCTCCTTTTTCCTATTCTTTAGAAACAACTCTGCTACTAATTCCACAATGGTGGCTAATAACTGGAAGGATTGCAATCCTATTAAAGTAGATAGTTCTTTAGCACTAACAATTCTGTTTGAAAAGGGATCAACTAAATCACCACTCTTCATTTGTGTTGAACAATCGATCCCAATTTTCTGCTTTTAAACAAAGTTTTGTAAATTAAGCAAAGCTATTCAGCAGCACACAAATCTTCATTATCTGCTTCAGTAGTAAATATATGTTCATTAACTGCAAAAACACATTAAACATAATAATAATAATAATAATAATAATAATAATAATAATAATATTAATAATTAACCAAACATTTTAAATTATGCATACGTACATCCATTGCCTGAAGAAGATAACTCAACACTTAACATTCTACTAGTACTGGCAACATATCATTATTAAAGACAGTAGCCATAATTCTTGTTTTAGCTGGATTACTTTTCTTTTTATTAATAGCCGCTTTCTTTTTACCACTAATCTGAGCTAACTTACATCGACTAAGCTTAGTTGTACGTTCTTTTTGTGATTGTAAGTCAGAATCTTTATTTCCCTCTTACCGATGCTAAGGTACACGGATCTTGACGTCAACTAAGATTGCACTTTGTACCTAGTCCATTTTACTATGATGTTGATCAGATTTCCACTGGTGGAATTTTATTATTATTCATCAAATCATTCACATTCACCGCCAAAATAATCCTTAATTGTCTAAAGGGACAAACTTTAGAATGTGAAAAAGCTACTAATTTTAAATCTTTAAAAAGTTCATTCAATTTTTGTATAATATCTGCTTTTATAATGCGAAATAAATTTTAAAAGAATAATCAAGTGTCCGAATAGTGCCACTATACAGTAGTCATGGTCTAAAGATAGTTATATACACATGAGTGTAAAATTGTTTATATCTATGTTCAAAATTGGTTAGATCTCTTAAAATGTTTTGAAAATTGGGAAACTAGACGTTACGACTCAAAATCCTTTTTTAAAATACCTAACGCAAGCTCCTGTCTTGAAATAAACATACAGATATATTTTTTTTAATTCAATTTCTACTTTGATGAAATATGTGTTTTAAACTCATTTGGGCCAGACCGATTCTGCCTGGTGAGCACTCGGCAAGCCAAGCAATATGACCCGCTTTTCGTCGTCTTGTTTATATATGGATGAGCAGTCTATTAATCTATATATGTCATTGGTATGATCGTCATTCGTCATTGTCATTGGCTGATTGCATATTTTCGCGCACGCGTATCGAGTCGTGTTCTTCCTCTGGCTGCCTTCTTCTACACAGCCATTCTATAATATTTTTAGTGTCAGTCTGTGGACATTGTCATTATTTTTTTGTGGTTGTGTGTTTTTATATATTGTCTTTTTGTATTATTTATTTGCCATTATTGGAAATGTGGTATACCAGAACTAGTAAACTTTATCATTAAAAACGGTAAATTTTAATTTATTTGCCTTTTAATTTCATAACCTTAGAATGGAACAGGATTTTCAGCGGCATTATGAGTCCTCTCTTTATTACCTAGTCTAAGAAAACACATCTATACTGATTTAAGTTAAAAATAGGAGACACATTTCAGGAGCTATTCGCCATATTGAATCTACCATTTTGACTTCTGATGAAATAATAAAATTATTACAAATTCGTAATTAGCGACTTAAAAAACACTGGTAAACGAAATTTAAAGTCTTTTAACATTAACTTGACTGTTGGCCAGCTTTTACTTGATTTTCGACCACTGTGCGGGGGGATACTAGCTGTATTCAGTGAAAGAATTTTATTAAATAAAAAAAATAGTAAACAAGTTATGATCTTTCTACCTAAAATATGATCATAGTTCTGTCATTTCCGCTTATACCGGAAGTAGAAGTCAACTTTATTATTTAAAATGGGAAACGCTTATTTTTATTCCGGATTCCGATATAACATAATATTTCAGGGTTACTTTGTAAAATAAAGTGTACCTCTAGCTAAAATTGGTAATTCATGAAGAAAAAAATTACCATTGCACGTATAAAAATAAATTTATTTTGGCTACAGTTAGTTAAAATTGGGAATTTTTTTAATTGACATGATGAAAAGTTAGTTCATGACATTTAAAGATCTTTTATTGAGATGAGGAAAGAGATGTTTAAATTTTGATGTAACAAATCATCGATACGCAGTAGATCACTTATATAAGTTTTATTTATTAAAGACAATGAATATGCAAACAGCATTCTAATTAATATTAATACTAGAGACAACCATTCTTTATCATCTACATCAGACACAGGAACAACCTTCTTCGTCTCTTTTGACATCTGACATTTGACATTACATTTATCTTAGATCGTCAATAACTAGACTTGAACTAAATATAAGGTAAAAGGAAAGCATTACTTATGAATAAAATGGGTTTATAACAACAAGTATCTTTCTTGACCTACCTACCTACCTACCTACCTACCTACCTACCTACCTACCTACCTACCTACCTACCTACCTACCTACCTACCTACCTACCTACTTACCTACCTACCTACCTACCTACCTACCTACCTACCTACCTACCTACCTACCTACCTACCTACCTACCTACCTACCTATTTAATCTACCTAGCTCTAATTTCGTTTATTTTTTTATTTCAGGAGTTCACTGCCACTAATTTTAGCGCATTTAATTTCATTATTTAGTGGTCCCTTCGATGAAACAAAACAAACTGAAATGTATATAACTGGGGCTGGATTAGTTTTAGTATCTGGTTGCGTAATATTTACGTTCCATCACGCTAATTTTGGATTGTCTGCCATTGGTATGAGAATCAGAATTGCATCGTCCTCGCTCATGTACAGAAAGGTAAAAAAAAACAAAACAGAACGAAATTTTTAAGGATCCATTTTTGAAATCTCTAACTTGATCAATAAAATAGGATATACAGCAACAAAGTTGTATTTAAAGACTCTATTTTGTACTCCAAAATAATCAGGAATTCAGTTATATGTGGCTCTTATAGCGTCTTCGAATCTACTGCATACGAAAGGTGGGAGATATGTCAATACCAGTTACTTTTCAATCTGAAATGTAACCGGTATCGGTATATCGCTCATCTTTTATGTGCACTCCACGCAGACAGGGCAGTGGAATAGAAAAAGCTATTAGAGAAGACACATTTCATTTTGGAAAAACCTTTTTTTATTTTTAGATAACAAGGTTGAACCAAAAATCTCTTGGAGAAACAGCTGCCGGACAAATTATTAATTTATTATCTAACGATGTCAACAGATTCGATTTGGCAATCACTCCCCTTCACTCGCTATGGGTAATGCCTTTTCAAGTTGCTTATCTGAGTTACATCATTTGGAATCAAGTCGGGATTTCATCGTTAGCTGGAATCATTTCTATGGCACTGGTAGCGTTACCATTACAAGGTAAAGAAGTCTCGTATTTTACAGATTTTAGTATGTACCAGCAACGTGAAACGTGTGTTTTTTGTTTCCGTCACGGTTGCGTTGGTTACTGTTTAATGTAGGAGGTATACTTAAGTTTTAAAAATATAATTTGTGAATATTTTAAAGTCTATTTTTATGAGAGAGTAATAAAACAGCATTTCTAATGCAAAACTTATTACGGTCATTTTAAATATTTTTACAGAATATTCTAAATATTTCCTAAAATTGTAATAAATGTACCTGTGCTATTACAAGTTTTAAGTCTTTTATTGGTCCTTTATAAACATAAGCTATACAGAACAATAGAAAAAGGTTTGGACAGGCCAAAAGCCCTGTGTATTAAAGATTACATAGCCGAATCTTAGGATTATTTTCAATAAGTACTTATTTGCCAATTTTGTTTTATTTTAATTCCAAGAATTTCTTACAGTAATCGAATTATAAGTAGATAAATACCTTCCCAACAAATTTCACCGAAAATGCGATTATAGGTTTTCCATTTAGTAAGGAGGTCCAAGTTGTGTATTCTTGACAGTTTACTAAATGTCGTTTAGTTGCAACTTGCAGGGTGCAGTGTGAATTCTAGTGTGATCATGGAAAATTTAGAAGAGCCGCGTAAACGACAAAAAATCGGTCCTTTAACAGTTAATGAAAAAACATTAATATTTAATTGTTTTAAATCATTTACAGACAAACATTTATGTAAAAGTGTTGATAACACACTGGAATTAGTTAGTAGTACTCTTGGTGTTGGGAAATCTACGATTTACAGAGTTGTTAAAGAAGAGAAATGTGGCGAGTTTCAAACAGCACGTAAAGCTCCAGGAAAACCAAAATTTCAATTAGAAAATCTTTTGAAAGAAAGACTTCGAAGGAAAGTGCATGCGTTCTTCTTTAGAAAAGAATTTCCGACAGTAGACAAAGTTCTTGCCACGGTTCGAGATGATAAGGATTACCCTGAAATGAGTCGAAGCACACTATGGAAACTTTTAAAAGAAATAGGTTTTCTATAGAAAAAGCATTCCAGAAAGTCTATTTTAATAGAAAGAAGCGATATTGTAGTATGGACAAGAAATTACCTAAGGACTATAAAAGAAATGAGAAACCAAAGTAGAAATATATTTTATTTAGATGAAACATGGATCAACGAGGGACATAAACCAAATAAATTTTGGCAAGATGAAACTGTTACAAGTCGAAGACAGACTTTTTTAAATAATTTATCTACTGGTTTAAGTCCACCCTCAGGAAAGGGGCGCAGACTAATAATAGTACACATCGGTAGTTCAAACAGTTTTGTTAAAGATGGTTTATTGACTTTTGAATCTACTCGTACCGGTGACTACCATGAGGACATGAATGCTGATGTCTTTAAAGAGTGGTTCGAACAAATTATAGATCTTCTTTCTCAGAACTGTATAATAGTAATGGATAATGCAAGTTAATACTCGAGACTTATAGAAAAAATGCCCACAACCAAGTGGTTAAAAAAAGATTTACAGAATTGGCTAAATTCAAAGAATATTAAGTTCCATCCCGGTTCTGTGAGAAAAGAACTGTATCATTTGTGTTCCCTTCATAAAGAAAAATTTTAAAAATATGAAATTGCAAAAAATCGTGGGATGACGGTGGTTAGATCACCACCATATCATTGCGAAGTAAACCCGATTTAACTGATATGGGCACAGATAAAGGGAGAAGTTTCAAGAAAAAATAATTCTTTTAAAATGAGTGATGTTAAACAGTTGTTTTTGGAGGCTGTAAATAATGTGAAGCCTGAAAACTGGGAAAAGGCAGTAAATCATACGATTAAAGAAGAAGAGAAAATGTGGTAGTTGGACAATATTACTGATGAAACGATCGAGCCACTCATTGTAAATATTGGTTGCGACAGTTCATCTTCTAATTTCGATTCTGATTTGGATTTGTGGGTAAGAAGTAGTTTTTATATTAAAATTATATTATTTATGAACATAACGTTGTTTAAAAGTGAAAGTTTAAACCCTTATACCTACATATCCCGTTTGACACAATGTTCTTAACATACCTTGTGGAAAAATAAAACATTTTAGAAAAAATTGCATTTTTTTACCTTCAGCTGTTTAGAAGTTTTAAGCAGGTTAATTAGGTGAACATATAAGTGTATACTCGAGGAATAACTTCAAAAAATATTTTTACTGTCTACTAAAAGAGGTGCTACGCCTATGGATTACGAACGCTTTATTTTAATACTCTCTCATACATAAAAATAGACTTAGCAAAGAAAAAGAAAACAACAAACAATGTTATTGTTTCGTATTTGTAGGTTACTTGGCCAAAGTCTTGGGACAATTTCGACTCAAAGTATCCAAAAAGACAGACACAAGGGTTAAGCTGATGACGGAAATTATATCCGGAATTCAAGTGATAAAGATGTACGCCTGGGAAAAACCATTTGAACAAATGGTCAAACTAGCCAGATTCGCGGAAATTAAAGATATTAAAGTTGCATCATATATAAGAGGAGTATTCAACGGTTGCGTAGTTTTTCTGGAACGACTGGCATTATGTCTCACTGTGATCTGCTACGTTTTATTGGGTAATAAAATTATTAAACTAATTTCCATCTCTACCAATATCCACTAAATTATTGATACATCATTAAAAAACTATTTAGTATTCAATAAAATGGTCTTGTGCAATTATCATATAATCAATTTGTGTCGTTTAGTTCATAACAATTAAACATCTATTTAAGTTGTAATGATAGACAAAAAAATTCCTGCAAAGTTCATTATGTGAAATTAGTGATCCTGTTACGGCTCATCGGCGTGAGTTTGTATTTTTTTTTTTATTTAAACCTTACTATTAAATTGTTTATTATTATTTAAACACGACATAAAAAATATTTTTAAAAAAATGAAATAAAAACTGTATGATACAAAAGCGTGAATTATCATTATAATTTTGATTTAGAAATTAAAAAAATAAAACTTTTCAGGTAACGACATTTCACCATCAATCGTATTCTCTCTGGCGCAATGTTTTAACATACTCCAATTTGCAATGGCTATTATGTACCCTATGGCTATCAGTCTTGGGGCCGAAGCTTTGATATCAATAAAGAGAATTCAGGAATTTCTCTTACTGGAAGAAAGAGAAGTTCGTTCCATAATTGAAATCAAAACTAACGGCATCATATTAACTGGAATCAATGCCTCTTGGACAGATAATGGAAGTACATTGACAGATATCAATTTAGAAATACCACCGGGTACTCTATGCGCTGTTGTAGGACCAGTTGGAGCTGGTAAAAGCTCATTGATACAAGTAAGAAAATATTTTCTGTTATATATATAACTTAACTAAGTACACTCGGTATTTAGTTCTTTAAAAAGATTTATTCAATTTAAATTACAACTTTTCATATCAAGAACAGATTCTAAACTGAATATAATGAAATGAAATACCCTACAACCGGTGACATTACACCTAAGGTGGAATGACACAACTTATCTAATAGTCAGCAGTTCCAAGATTCATCCACGAGGTTGCCGACTCAGGGTTATTGACTCTATAACTCTCCCCTAGTTAAAATGAGGCTTCCGGAAGTCGAATATGTCCTTCTTCAGGGGTTGGTTCTGATAAGGATTTTTCCTTCTTCTTCTTAGGCATCTTCTTGTGGATAATACAAATAATTGTTACTGCTACTCCAACGTAAAGAATAATTGTCCATGCACTAGGAATATGATACTTAAAATTTTCGTTTATTATAGGTATTGGTCCATTTGAACTGATTTATTTTAGTTTTAAACTTTTTAAATTTAATTTCATTGGCAACAGATTTATTTTTTTAAAATACAATTTTGGTTTATTTATTATAATTGGTTGTTCAAATGATTTTTCTTGAAAGGTTAATTCGTAATATTATTTTACATGGTGAATTTTCAATTAAAAATATTCCAGATAGGATTTTAATTTCGGTTCCTTGCAAGCATTTTATTGATAATTTTTCTTCTTGAGGAAATATTGCCAAAAATTGATTTGTTTCTGGTATAATTTCTATAGTTGTGTAAACAATTTGATATTAATAGCCTGAGCCTAAGAAGGAACACATCCTCGCTTATTTTTCTATTTAAACTCATGCACAATTTTATTGATTGTAGCGATATTTTGTCACAAATTAAATTTAATATACCCCGTCTAAATTCTAGAACCAACAAGCTATTCGAATGCCCTAGGGCAAAAACCAACTTGATGTTAAAATCACCCTTATATGTAATGTGTAACAATTACAATAAATTTAGTAGTCATTGCGATATTTTTCATTGTTCTCTTGGTGAACTAATTAAAAATGCAGTTACTTTCCTTAACGAAATATTGTAATAAGTATATTGTATTATATTGAATTCTCCCTGTGTTATTTTTGTAAGAATTTTTTTTTTTTAATATATTCTTGGCTTGTTCACAATATTCATTTGTTTTCTATTACAGTTTTTATTTTGCAACTTTTATTTAGTTTTCGTGTAAATATATGTTACATCACAACCCATAAGTAGAATTTACTTTTGTAATTAATTAATTTTATTTTTAGATACCACTTTATTATTGTTACTTACTATTAAGAATATTGTCCTGTAAATGGGAAACTGTTGGGCAATAAAGCTATTATTATTATTATTATTATTATTATATGATTTTTAGAAATATCTACCTTAACATATTGACATTGGCTAGAATTTCCTTTTAGTAAAATTTCTTTTTCGCATAATTGTTCATTATTATTTTGTAAATGGCTAGGACGTTGGAATTTTTTACCGCGTGTGCAAATATCGTTTAGAGGCTTTAATTGATTTCCGGATTTTAATATATATTAATAGGATTCAGATGAATTTAATATGGTACATATAGCTGTACTATCTTCTACTTTTGTTAAACATTCAGGAATATCTAATTTATCAATTTTTATATACGGTATTATTACGTCACCGTTTTTAACATTACTTATATTTAATTTAATAATTTGTTCTGTTCGTGGTGGCACTACTATACAGTTCGTGCACTCACTATTTATCTTAAAATAATTTATTTTGATTTGACTGTAAGGGGTAATTAACAAGTCGTTTATTAGGTCAATTTTTGCATTTAATTTTTTGAGATTATCTAACCCTAATAAACAATCAAAGTGATTATGAAACTTAAAAATACAACATTCAAAATAATTGATTTATTATGTTTAAATATTTTTGAGGATGGAATTACTGTACAATAATTTTCTTGTTTCGTTCCTAAAGCAGTAGAAACTTGGAATGGTTTGCGTATAAAGGATGTTTTAAAATATTTGTCAGCAATTTCTGGCACAATAAAGGATTTTGTACTGGCAGTATCAATTAGGACTCTTAAATTATTTTCTGGGAATATTATGTACGGTAATTCACTCTCACCGTTAGTCAAGTTTAGTAATTCGACTTGTTTTATTTGTTTTTCGAGGCATTTTCCCCTAAAAAATCATCACTAATAATTTCATTGGGACATTCTATATTATCTAAGTCATATAGTTCTTCAGAAATAAAATGTTTCCTTTGATTTGCAAAAGAATTTTGATTTTGAGAATAGTTGCGATTTTGGAAATTTATTGTAGGTCTAAAGGAATTTGAAGTATTTATACTTATGAGTGTTTGATTTTTTGATTCGGGTTAGGCCTGAAAATATTCATATTTGGACCTCTACTTGTACTAGGTTGATTTCGAAGCACTTAACCTACATTTCTATTTAATTGTTGATAATTTTGAGATGAACTTGGCATTTCTGGTTGCCAGTTTATTGATTGATTATTTTGAAAATTTTGTCTATTTCTAAGTAAATGATTATTTTGGTAATTATGATTAATATTTTTATATCTTGGACTATAATTACTATTATTATAAGGTCCCATTTCAATTTGAAAATCATTCGTAATGTATTCAAAGCAGAATTTAAATCTAAAGGGTTTTTTATTCGCATTAATGTAGGTACCTCATGGTGTTCTTTAGTCCGCGTAACAATATTCTGAGAGCCTGATTTCTAAATAATTCCCTAAAACATTTTCGTTATTTTATTGAAGAATTGGAACGGAGAATCGTTACCCTGTTGTAATGCTGAAATTTCTAAGCTTAAGGTATAAATATCTCTTTTATCGGCATATGTATTCAATAAAGCAGCTTTTAAATTTTCTCAATTTCTTATCGTACAAGACGATATATTTTTGGCAGCTTCGCCTTTTACTTTCGCTAAAATACTAGACATTAAATACTCATTTTGAAAATCGTTTATATCTACAGTATTATAAAATTTTCTTACTAATTTTTCGCTTACTTCTATAAATCTAGGAAGCAAGGCGGGATCACCATAAAAATCTGGGATCATATCTAAATATTTATCTTTTAATTCTGGATTTGTTGGAGCCATTTTAAATTTATTATTTGAAGTTAAAATAAATAAAATATGTTTTGTTTAAATTTGAGTCAGAATCTGTACCAGAATCAGAATTGTTTGAACTTTCAGAATTGATAATTAAAGGTTTTTCTCTAAACGACATTACAGTAAAAGTAGTTTCCACTCCATCTATTCGAATTCCGCCGTCAAGCAAGGACTGGACCGGGTAGACTCTTCAAAGTTCACTTGAATGGCTTTCTTAACTCGAATAGCGTTCGTCACGTTAGGCTACTCAATTCACCCAACTGGAAAACTTCTTAAATACGTTTTAAAGTTCAAAATGGTAAAAAAATCGTAGAAACGACCCAGGAATTATGTGCACTAAACCCGTTTGACCATCCTACTGACTGCGCCACTTAACTAAGTACACTCGGTATTTAGTTTTTTAAAAAGATTTATTTAATTTAAATTACAACTTTTCATATTAAGAACAGATTCTAAACTGAATATAATGAAATGAAATACCCTACAACCGGTGGCATTACACCTAAGGTGGAATGACACAACTTATCTAATATAATAGTCAGCAGTTCCAAGGTTCATCCACGAGGTTGCCGACTCAGGGTTATTGACTCTATAACTTATATACACTGGCGAGGAAAAAATTAAGGTCACCTTAAAATTTTCATGTTCTTTGAAATTTTACGTTTTCAGATCGTATTCGCAAACTGTACATCATTTCATGTGCTTTTGTAAGCTGAATGTGATACTCTATACTAAACAGAAATGCATTTTTTTCTAATACTATTATGTCCTTATCGATATTGACGCTAAAATTATTTGCAATTTCTGAAGTGACCTCAATTTTTTGGTCGCCAGTGTATTTTTAAAGATAGATTTGGTTTGAGTATAAGTATGACAAATTTGTTTACAGCTTCTATTAGGAGAACTAGTAGAAAAATCTGGAAAAATTCAAATGGGCGGTGAAGTATCATACAGTTCTCAAAATCCTTGGCTATTCCAGTCGACAGTGAGAAACAACATCCTCTTCGGCCAACCTTACAATAAAAATTGGTATGAAACAATTGTAAAAGTTTGCGCTTTGGAGCGCGATTTCGAACAATTTCCGCGAGGAGATCAAACCGTTGTCGGAGAAAGAGGCGTGTCTCTTAGTGGAGGACAGAGAGCAAGAATTAACCTGGCCAGAGCGGTCTATCGACAAGCCGATATATATCTAATGGACGATCCATTATCTGCCGTCGATACTCACGTTGGAAAACATTTATTCGAAGAGTGCATTAATAAACATTTAAGAGGAAAAACTAGAATTTTGGTGACACACCAATTGCAGTATCTGAAGAAAGCTAATTTGATAGTTGTTATTAATGAAGTAAGTATACCCAGACAGCACACCAAATCCTTTGGATATCTACTTGACATCCCAATATCCACTGAATGTCCAGTCCATGGTGGATATCTATTTTATATCCATGAGATGTAATTTATAGACATGCAAATGTCCATAAATAATAGTAATTATATAGCAAATTATTAAAAAATTACGCCATTGTGCTCACCATTGTGGCTAATAGTACCGTTCAGATATTTAAAATTAATTTTTTTAAGGTGTATTCAATATCCCATGGACATCCACTAAATATATCAAAGTCTAGGCGCGAACACAAACCATGGTGAATATCCACTAGATGTAATTTTTGATTTTGCTTACTAAGTATAGATGGCGATATAGACCGTCAGATAGTGACCGATTTAAGTGCCCCATTTTCGCATACAAGCCTTGAAGAGGGTTGAAAAGTACATCGATGTTGAGTAGAATAAAAGAAAATTTACGAGTGGCTGCAGAAAAATTTTCCGACCCCAAAATGCACTTATACGTTTGGGTCGTTCAAGAAAATATGTTTTTTGGACTAGTGACGACAAAGGTTTTCATGTGTTTTCATGTGTGGAAAAATCGGGCAAAATCTCGATTTTTCCTTACAAGATTACGCCCTTATTTCAACCCTTTAGCCACTTGCAACATTAAAGCCTTTGGGTTTCCAAAGCATAGTTCTATTAATTAATCATATAGTGAAACGGCTTGCGTGGAAAAATGGGTAACAAATAACCTTTCGTTTTTGTTAGGGAAAATCGAATTTTCCATGTGTTATCCCCAGCAGCCACTCGTAAATTTCCTTTCATTCTACCTAAAATCGATGTACTTTTCAACCCTCTTCGAGGCTTGTATGCGAAAATGGGGCACCTAAACCTGTCACTATTTGACGAACTAATACCACTTTCGCTCGTGCTCATGCTTAACCCGCCGTAATTGAGTTCGATCGAAAATTTTTTCCCAATCAGACTCCATTAGAGACTGACTGAAGTCGAGAATTTTCATTTATTGCTGAAGAGTGAAGAGTCCTAATAAGGATGACTTTCTCCTTAGTGATCAAAATCAAAGGCAGAGTGTTGAAAATATTTTTATCACTGCTATTTTCTTTCGACGTTATTCAATAATCATTGGTTACTTATGAACCTCTACTAAAGATACCCATAAAATATTTTGCTGAATATCCGAATATCTTCTATATCCTGGGATATAGACGGACATTTGGATATCCTGATATCCATATTAGATCCACTGGATATATTGGATATCTCTGGGATTTCCTGTATTGTCTGGAGATACCCATTAGATATTTTGCTGGATATATCCATAGGATTTCTTCTATATTCTGGATATAGACGGACATTTAGATAACCATATTAGATCCACTTGATAATTCTGATATCCTGTGGATGTATTGGATATCCACAAAAGATATTCTGTGGATATCTCTGGGATTTGGTGTGTTGTTTGGGTATCTGTATCTTTTTTTTTTTGTAAAATAGAGAATAAGACGTTCTTAGGAGTACAGAGGCTGGCATTCCTTTGTATTAGAGTAGTACCGTAAAATGGGGTGAATAGAAACAGTGGGGTAATTAGAAACAAAACATTGCTAAATTTTTGGCGGGAAATAAAAAATAAACAATAAAAAAAAGAAGAAGTTTATGGTCATCGTGAAGTTGGCTATACCTAAAACTAATAGAAAAATTGTAATTTGTTATGTTGGCACCTGTTAATTCCTTCTGTTGACAGTTGACTTTGAGGTTAAGATTTGTGATTTTTTGGAGCTCCCAGAACTTTTTATGTAAGTATCAAACTAAACTACTGAATGTAATAAATTACTGGCGTTTTAAACGTTTCACACAGTTTTAGCAATAGGTTTATGTTTAATTTTTGATATTTCACATTAGTTTGTCAGCAATCATTTTTTATTTTTTGTGACATTTCTATTTAGAATCTGTGGGGTGAATAGAAACAGTGTTTCTATTGATTCCACAAGTAATAAACTTATATTAGTAGGTTTGTAAACATATGATCTGTCAGAAACGACGTTTGTGCGGTCATTTATAGTTTGTTGTATCCTTATATTATAGATAACTATTAAATAATTTGTTGTTTTTTCAGATTGTACCCGAAACATGCCCCGAAAATACAAACGAAGTAGTGAAACTACTAAACAGTATAAAAAGCACTCTGAGGAAAAAATCAAAAGTGCAATTCTAGATATACGGTCAGGGTTAAGTTTAAGAAAATCGTCAGAAAAGCATGGCATTCATTTCAGCGTGCTTTACAGACATTTCAAACGGGGAAAACAAATGAAGAAACAAGGTGGACAGACGGTTTTATCTGATATAGAGGAATCCATTCTTGTAAACAGATTCCCTGACATTAAGACTCTTAGTGAAAGAGTTTTTAGATCGTCAGGGAAAAAGCATAAAAGTGTTCAAAGACAATTTACCTGGTAGGGACTTCGTATATTCTTTTATCGAAAGACATAAACAAGCCTTATCTTTAAGGATGTGCCAAAATATAAAAAGAAGCAGGGCTGCTATTTCTCCGGAGGTGATAAACGAATACTTTGACAACCTCGAGGTCCAATTAAAAGACGTACCAGCTGGTTAATTATGACGAGACGAATTTATCTGATGACCCAGGGAAGAAGAAAGTTATTACCAGAAGAGGATGCAAATATCCGGAACGTATAATGAACTCTACCAAATCTTCGGTTTCTGTGATGTTTCCTGCTGCTGGGGACGGCAATATATTACCTCCTTATGGTATATAAAGCCCTATATCTCTACCAAAGTTGGACTGAAAATGGCCCTAAGAACTCTCGTTACAATAGAACAAAATCGGGCTGGTTCGATGCCTTCTGTTTTCAAGATTGGGTTGAAACTGTAGCAGTCCCGTATTTTCGAAGGCTTGAGGGACAAAAGTTTTTGATTGGTGATAATTTAGCATCACATCTGTCATTGGAGGCAATTAGATTGTGTGAGGAGAACAATATTAAATTCATTTTTCTCCCAAGCAATTCAACCCACCTGACCCAGCCACTGGACGTGGCTTTTTTTTCATCCAGTAGAGATATCTTGGCGTCATATTTTTAGAAACTTGGAAAAAAGGTCCTGGTAGAAATGAGTCGACTGTTCCAAAAGACAAATTTCCTGGTTTGGTAAATCAGCTATGTTCAACATTTAAACAAGATAATGTTATTTCCGGTTTCAAAAAATGTGGTATTGTCCCTTTATGTCGAGTCAAAGTATTGTCAATGCTACCTAATACTGACCCCATCCAGACATTCAGATGTGTACCGTTGAATCAATCGACGACACTTTTAAAGAATTATTAAGAAGTTTGAGGCAAGGAGACACCCCAAAACCCCGGAAGACTAGGAAAAAATGTGTTGTTCAACCAGGTAAACGCATCGGTATACCGGAATATCAAGCAGATATCGACCCTGCAGATTTCAACCAAGCTGTAACACCGGTAGCTTCTTCAAGCAAACATCCTACTCGTTCAAAGAAAAATACAAAAACGAATGATGAAGATTCATCGTCAGTGAGCTCTAAATATTCCCTTCAAGACAGTGATGATGAATTGGACCTATCATTTTTTGAAGATAAAGAAAATTCCTTCACAAATAGTCCTACACGTAAAAGTACGGAGACCCTTCACCCTAGAGATTTTGCAATTGCGAAAGTATACGGTAAGACCAAGCAGTCTGTTAGATTGTACGTGATCGAAATTTGTTATCTCGTTGATGATGGGTATGTGGGACTTTTTTATAAAAAGGGCGGCGAGACAATGAAGTTTTCTGTAACAACTGAAGAGTCGTTCATAGATCATGCTGATATAGTTCGAGGGTTGTCTTCTCCCACTGTTTTTTCCTCTGGTCGATTCAAAGATATGCTCTCTTTTCCGGATAATCTCAGTGATTTGACAATATACTAATTTTATTTACTGATGTTTTTAATTTTTATGTTTTTGGTTTCTTCATCTGTTTATATTTACATATACTATGTAGATGAATATATTGAACTTTTTGTTTTTTGTTCGTTTTAAGGTTTTTGTGTTAAATAAAACTGATTTAATCAAACTGAATTTTTCTTTTGAAGTCTCTAGACACCCCACAATGCTATGAATAGATACAAACGCTCAATTAAGTATGTGTTTCTTTTGACCCCATTTGTAGGGTGAATAGAAACACAACGAAAAATTTTTTTTTAAATAATTTATAGTACACTTCATCTAGAAGAGACTAAGACCCAAGTTTTACACTAATTTAAACTACATTATCTCATCAAACATCGCAGTAGCATTACACAATAACATGAAACCTGTTTCTATTCACCCCATTTTACGGTACTGAGGAGGATATCCTCTAACTAAACCTCTCATTTATTGACTGATTCATAAAGGGTAGGCTAGAATAAATATTTTCAATAATTGGAACACATCGAATGAGGTAAATCAGAAAATTAATCAATCCAAGGAACCAGACTCTGACGTATATGGGAAAGCATGCCACTGTGTATTCAATGCTAAAATCCAAGCTAAAATTGTATGTAAGAAAGTACAGAAAACAAACCATTTTAATTTTCTCAGATTCAAAACAGATCTGGAATTATTGATGAACTGAAAACCTGCTTTAAAGTAATACTAGTGTAAAAAGGCTAAAGAGGGTTTAAAATGCACATAATAAGACGCGAACCTGTCTGGCAGAACTAAGTAATAAAAAAAATATTTTTTAGGGCAAAATTGAGGCACAAGGTACATTCGATGAACTTTTAAACAGTAAACTCGATTTCACTAAATTATTAATAGATACAGGCGAATCCGGTGAAAAGCCAGATGATATACATGTTCCAGAAATCGAATCGATGAAAGATCGAAAAATTTCCGTATTATCTTGGCACGTAAGTTTAACAACACTCAGAATTATGTAACATCAGATTTTGGATGCGTCTAAATTATTTTAGAGTGATATATCAGAATGCTTGGAGTCCACTTTACAACCAGCCGAAGGAGATCAAGAAGAGGGAAATGATCCAAACAGCAAACCGTTCAAAGATTACCTATTGGCTGCAAAAAGTATTTGTCTTTTGGTCTTTCTGATTACGTTGATGATAGTAGCTCAAGGAGTTTGTGCTTGTGCTGACCTTTGGGTGGCTTTCTGGTAAGTCTTTAGTTTTTATCAAAATCATTACATATTGAAGTTTCTTCTTGCAACTCCTTAATTGCTGTATTCACTATTCATTTTTTGTTAACTTCATCCCCAATGGACAATAAACAATATATTTGGCAATAGTACATTGTACAATATGAATGATGTTGTCCATTTGCTGTGACTATACTGCACAGTATTTATATCATTTCAAGAACTACATTAACACACTGGATGGGGAGATTCTTATAACAGTATAACATTGGGTGACAACACAAATACTAATACTAAGAAATTAACACTACGTTCATTATGATAGGTCCAACGGGTCGTATTGTTTTCATCTTGTGATTCTAGGGATGACAAGTAAGTCTATCGAAAGGGTATTGGGATGGTTACCAAGTCGATTCTGGTATTTTCTATTTATCTTTTTTATCTTCAAATTTCTTTATATGTCATGGGTATGTAGAGTACGATTCAACTAAGAAAAAGCCACACACATCATACCTGACAAAGGCCGCAATAATTTGCCTCTCTCTCAGGTCCATCCCATTTAAGTGTCAGTGGCGTTTTGGCGATTTTTTTCGTTTTTCTAATATAGAGATACAATTGCTTAATAATTTGGCAACGCTGTACGACTGCCGCATGGTCCAGAATATAATTCGAACAGAAGCTATCGCGTAAACATGTATCCCTTATTATTATGAGCCAAATTTCGGCGTTGCCAAGCTTTTACTTACGAACAAAAATACGGGTTCATCGGAAGAAAGTGAAGACAGCGAGAGTATACTATAACTCTGATTTTAAACTAAGAAGAGCGAATTGAAAAGACGCATTTACACAGGGAAAAGTAACTAGATTTGTTACTAAGAGCGAGTTTCGAAATATAGTCGTTTTCAAAATTTATGAAATAATTATCTTTATCGGCCTTAGTCAGTGAACGGCCAATGAGCGGTTAAGAAACGAATAAATGTCATAGAAGTAATTTTTTAATTGGTCCCAGACAACGGTCGCAAATTTCACATTATTGTGATCTGAAATGTGTGTCTAAAACGAAATGTCACTGTCAAATTAAAGTCAATATGGTTGTTGATTGATGTCAGAAATACTTTTTTCTTGCTTTTGAAATCGACTTTTTGAGAATAACTATGATCTTTTTAAAATGGATATTAAATATTTAAGAAAATTGTTAATGGAATATCCAGATGTAGCCAGGTTAGTATAAAATATAAAGATCTGTTTACATTTTAAAGGATATATTTGTTATAAGTATAAAAAGTAAAAGTTAATCAGTGAATGACAAGTGGATCACACAGTAACTGGTATCTCTTCTATGAGTAATGTGGATATTATGGCTTATTTAGTGTTAACCCATGGTTAATGCGCTAGAGGGCAAATAAAGGCATTCAAAAGTGTACAGGCCTATGAGTCAGAATTTTTTTTGAAGACTGGAACCAAAATTTTTATAACACTACATGTGCAACATATATTTTTTAAAGTGAACTATTCATACATACCTATGTATTAATTTTAAGTATTTTTAAAATATTTTTTGTGAAAGTAATGTTAACTCATTGTGCCAAATTAAGATTATCCCTAAAGTAGTAGATGGTGTATTAAATATTATAACAATTTTGTAAATAGTTTTATTCTATTCTAGTAAATAAAATTTGCTTGAATATTTAGTTACATTTTAATCATTTTGGTTAGAAATTCATCAATTTTTAGTTTTAAAAAATCAGTAATAAAATTATTTTTTTCTAAAATACTTCGGAATTCATCTCTTCATGGTAATCTCCCATCTTTTTGCCTTCAAAAACCAATAATGCATTTTCTACAAAACCTTCAGAATCAGCATGTAAAATAATAAGGTGTCTTCCCTTTCTTGTAAGGCATTTCAGGAATTGCTACCTTTAATAGTAGAACGATCCATAATTGTAGATTTTCAATACAATTGCTTACTGAAGAACTATTATTTACGAAATAAAGTAAAAAAGTAATGGATGAGATATCAAATTATGAAATGTCAGAACTGTCAACAATATCAATTATTAGCTGATGTTCATGCTAAAAAGTAATGTGTGAAACTGACTGTAATCTGATCAATCAGAAGGCTACAGAATTGCCAACTCAAATTCAAATCGCTCCTCTTAGTTTAAAAACAGAGTATAATAGTTCATTAACGGACGAACTAGGATGTACTGCTCTAGTTTCATTTTTTGCACTAGTTGCATAAATAACTATTATTTTAATTGTAATAAAAATCTTAAATTACAAAATTATGTTGCTATTTTTATTTACTTCCAACTGAATGTTTTGCAAGTCTAAAGTCGAAAAATATATGTAATGTTATTTTAGTTTAGTTATTTAGGTAATATACAAATGTTTAAATCATTAAAATTTAACTTTTTATTCCAATAAATGTTTTTTGTTGGGAAACTGCTTTAATTCTTATTTAAATAAGAGCCTACGCCACTGGTATATCGATCTGGAGCAACGGAGAAGGAATATTTTAAAGTGAGGCAGACGATGACTAGTTGATGACGCCCGTGGCTTTTTCTAAGTTGAATCGTACTTTACCATGACACATTACAGATTGTTCGTAAAGTTTTTGATTGAAATTGATTTCAATATTGATAAATATAACAAGAATTTATTTTGTAATGGCAATGAACCAGTATAGTTTACTACAGACAATTCCGAGTTGAAGAAATTTGCACCATTATCTATCCTCCAATTAAGTCCCATGTCTAGATAAATATAGAGATCTATTTCACGTAATGGAATGTTTTTTATTGTAAGTAAAAGTAACATGATTGGATTTGATGCAGTTTACTTTTTGTCCATGATTATATCGAAAACTAAATTGGTTTCTTCCATTATTGGTTTCTTGTATAACTTTGAAGACTATGAATTAACTTCCGGTGGATTTTTACCGGATTTTTTAACAAGTGTAATCTGTTCAACCTTCCATTAAGATAGAGCGTGACCAAGTTTTGTAATAGAATTCAGAAATATGATAATCACCCGGAACCCTTCATGTGGTAGAATTTTCTGGCATTAATTTCATGGTAGATTATGTTTTTTATCGGAAACTCAATTTAGTATAACGTGTTCAAAATTGTTCTTTTTCTTGGACTAAGATTTAGCTTCGATGTGGTTTGAATACCGTGCTCAGTTGTTATTACTATTAATGAGAAATATTTATTTTTAAGGACAACTCAAGAAGAAATAAGGCATACTCCCAATTCAACAATTTTGGAAGCTACAGAATCACCACAGATTGAAATCTTCAACATTGGTCAAACGAATACCACAAATTTAACAAATAACTTCAGATATGATACTAATCCAAATAGCAGGACTCCTATACTTAGTGTAGATATTGACGATTTGTTCGATTACATTAAGATTGATGATACAATGCATAAACTAATAAAAACTCAGTACGCCATGTATTTATATGCAGTTATAATAGCATTGGCAGTGATTCTAACTATCGGAAGATCATTTTTATTTTATAAAACGTGCATGCTGTCCTCGATTAATTTACATTACACAATATTTAATAAATTATTGAAAGCACCGATGAAATTTTTTGATACAAACCCCAGTGGAAGAGTTTTAAATAGGTTTTCCAAAGATATGGGTGCTATTGATGAAGTTCTGCCTAGAGTGTTGATGGATGCTGTCGGCGTAAGTAATTTTCATGACAAAAATTTAATGTATCTTTCTAAATAAATTGAGGCGACACTGAAGCAATGTATTTTTTAGATTGTTCTAGTAATGTGTGGTATCCTAGTTAACGTATCTATTTCTAATCCTTACATAATAATCGCCATCATCGTATTGGGAGCAGTATTTTTGCAATTTAGAAATTGGTATATCGCTTCAGCAAAAGTTATCAAGCATCTTGAAGGAATAGGTAAGTAAAGCAATAAGCAATATAAGTATCATATAATGTATATCGTTAAAACTTCTCCTTCTAGCTAAGTCACCAATGTTTTCCCATGTTAACTCAACACTTAATGGTATTACTACAATAAGAGCGTCCAATGCAGAAGATGTTTTGATTGACGAATTTGATAGTAATCAAGTAAGATACATTTTAATAATTTTAAACTATTCGCCATACAGGTCTAACTGATAACACATTAGAAAAACATAGCTCTAGCGCAGTGGTCGCCAACCTCTCAATGTATTGAGCTAATTTTGGAATAAACAGCGAGCTACCCACACGGAAGCCACGTAACGCAACGTAAATAAAATAATCCACAGTTAATTTATCATTATATGTATTTATTTTACTATTTAACTGGTAATACATAACACATAGGTACTAATAATAAACTAATAACAAAATAACTAAATATTACTAGTACGTACTTGTTCATAGCTACATTTCTACCTACAAAACGAAGGTGTTTAAAAAATAAACACCAACTTTTATCCAGCCACAACGGCATGTCACGTAAGATTTAAAAATAGTTAATAATAACAAAAAAGTAACGCACTATCATGAACATAAACATTGAAAAATAAAAAAGCACGTTCAATGAGAAGGCTGACACTCAGACTCATCGATAATTTTTTTAATGTTTGCAGTATAATTTGATACAGCCATTCGAATACAATTATCCAAATGTTCATCTGTAAGTCGATTGCGATATTTGTTCTTAATAAACTTCATATTGGAAAAAGAAGATTCACACAAATAGGTTGAACTGAATAATGCTTTCAATTTCAAGGCAACACGTCATAGAACTGAATATTTGTCTTTACTTACAATAGGCCAGATACATTTGGTACTTGAGACTAAAGATTTTAAGGCTAAATTATTTTGAATCTCAATTACTTACATTTCTGTTGCAGCGATGTCTTCGCCAAAGTTCTGCATAACACAAGTTGCAAACTGTTGGATATCAATTTCCATAAAGAGTGAAACAACAAACTGCGCTACTAAAGCCATTTCGTTGAAATCCTTAAAACGATTTTTGAAGTTATTCTTCAGGGTAGAAACTATTTCTACATGATATTTGCTGTCATAGGGTTCTAATGGATTTTGAGATATTTTTTCTGAAAGAATAGGAAAATGCTTGGCATCGCTGTTAATTAGGTTTTGTTCCCAAAACTCCAGCTTTTTAATAAATGCTTTTATATCAGAAATCATTTCCGCTAGTTCTTTGTCTCTCCCCTGAAGCTGCAAATTAAGTTCGTTTAATTTTTCTGTAATGTCCACGAGAAAACCAAAATCTCTAAGCCAGATTGAATTTTCTAGTTCCGGAGTCGGTTCATCGCGTTGTTTGAAAAATTGAACTATGCCAGATAGCATATCATTAAAACGTTTCAGCACCCGTCCTCTACTTAACCATCGGACTTCAGAGTGAAAGAGTAGGTCCCCGTATTGACAGTCAACTTCATCGGCCAAGGTTTTGAATAATCTTCTTTGTAACGCTTGAGCTCTAATCTTGTTCACAATTTTTACCACCAGTTTCATAACGTTGTTTAGTTTCAGGAAATTTCCACATAATGCTTGGATAATGCAGTGGTAACAGAGAAATTGCGGAAAAGTTTCATCTTTACGACATAACGTCACTAGACCCTTATCACAACCTATCATAGCTGGAGCGCCATCGGTTGTCAAGCCTACCATTTTCGATATTGGAATTTTCTCGGAAGAAATAATATTTTTTAAATGAGAAAACAACTCTTGTCCAGTAGTGTGTCCTTTCAGTGGAATAAACTTCAAAAGATCTTTAATCGTAAAATCACTAAAAACCATCCTGACGAACACAGCCATCTGGGCAATGTCAACGACATCTGTTGATTCATCCAGTTGAAGTGGAAAATAAACACAGTTATCTAAGTCAGTTCTTAACTGTAAGAAAATATCATTGCTCATTACTTATACTTATACACTCATCACTGTATTAGCAGAAAGTTGCATAGATTTTATAGCTGAAACTATCTCGTCTTTATTTCTAAAGTTGGCAAATAACGAATCAGCAGCTTCTAAAAACGCCTGTTTTATCATTTTCCCGTCTTCATAAGGTTTCTTTTTTTGTGCAATTATCTGGGACACACGGTAAGATGCTTCAGTTGCAGCCTTATTTTTGTCGACTGTTCTTAAAAATATTGATTGTTGTCCAATTAACTGCTTTTTTAACTGTTTCAGTTTCTCCTTTCTGACGGCAGAATGTAGTGGGAATGATTTTTCAAAATTAGAATGTACAGTTTTATGATGTCTCTCAATATTTCCTTTTTTAGCAACGGAGACCGAAGTATTACATAACAAACACACATTTTTATCTTTAACTTCTGTAAAAAAGTATTGTTCTTCCCATTCCGAATGAAAGTGGTATGTCTTTACCTTCTTACAACTGCTTGCCATAATATTATTTTTTGTTGTTCTCTACTAACCCAACCGCTGGACGTTGGTTACGCGTTCAGTTTTAAACTAAGCGCAATGTCGCGGTGCCGTGCGTATTTATCCCGTTCAAAGCAATCCTGATCGTTCTCGAACACTAACGCGCTGGTCCGGCTGGTCGGTTCTAGCCGATTCTAGCTTGATGGCGTCAGCGGCAGATCGCTCACCGCAACGTTGCCGCTGTTTAGGTTTAATATTATGACCATTAAATTTTTTTGTGGCATTTTCGGAAGCTTCTCTGATTTTTGCAGTTTGTATTTTTTAAATTAAAATCGTTGTGAGAGCTACCAGAATTGCCTCCGCGAGCTACCGGTAGCTCGCGATCGACAGGTTGGCGACCACTGCTCTAGCGATATCTTGTATTGGAACAAGGCAGCTAACTCTGAGAAAGAAGATAAGTCATATATAACGGGAAGAATAACGAAGAAACTTTATCTCTATTATTTAGCAGATAATTCTTTTCTGTTTTGTTAATTTCATGAAGAATTTGCTTATAATTAAAGTATTAAAGCATTTGTTTTTTTCAGGATGTCCATACTGCAGCCTGGTATCTATTAATAGCTTGTATGGGCTCTTTTGGTCTTTGGCTGGATATAATAAGTTTAATATTTACAGCCTCTGTTACATTCAGTTTTATATATTTACACTCCAGTAAGTAATTAACCAATAACCATTGAAGAACCAAACAAATTAGAAGCCTGTTCGAATATAACTTTTATTTTATGTATTTTCCTTTAATGTTATCTATTTTTTTAACGGGATTCTGACTTTAGTAGCGAACAAACATTTTAATTTAAATATGTTTGACTGTATTATATAAAATAGAAAAGAATTGATTTTTTAACGATTTTATTAGTAAAGTAACTGGTACAAACAATGCACTCTACGAAGGTCTTATATGAATTAATGTTCACTTTTTTCAACACTCGTCTTCATTATTTGAGCGCACTCCCACACATTCCCCCAGACCCGTCACGTGGCATTTCCGATCACAACACTTCGCAAGCGCGGTTGCCAGATTGAGTAAAATGTCCGAAGAAAATATATATTTTGATTTTAGTATCTGCAGTGAATGGTGCTTTGGTAGGTCTTGCCATTTCTCAATCTATGATCCTCACTGGTATGTTGCAACATGGAATGCGACAGACAGCAGAAGTTGTTAATCAACTCACTAGTGTCGAACGAGTTCTTCAGTACACTACTATGGAACAAGAAGGGCCATTTGATACGCCAAAAGGTACAAAAGACTTAAAATCACAAAGCCTTTTTTTATATTATTATTTTAGATAATATTCCGAAAGATGAATGGCCGAAAGAAGGTTTGGTAGAGTTTAAAGATCTTTCTCTAAAATATGTAGAAGACGAACCACCAGTTTTAAAACAGTTGAACTTCACTTTATATCCTGGCCAAAAGGTATACAAGGCATTTAAATGTTAATCATGACATCATCATTGTTTCGCTTTTAGATTGGAATAGTAGGAAGAACAGGTGCAGGAAAAACTTCCCTCATATCGGCCCTATTTCGACTGGCACCGTTAGAGGGCGCCATATTCATAGATGGATTGGACACTAAAACTTTTGGTCTTAATGATCTGAGGAAGAAAATATCGATTATACCTCAAGAACCAATATTGTTTTCAGCCACGTTGAGATATAATTTAGATCCATTTGGTGAATATGAAGATGATAAGATATGGAAAGCATTAGAACAGGTTTGTATTTGACGATGATATTATTATGATTTTATTATTATACAGTTTGTTTTTAGGTCGAACTGAAAGATGCTGTGGATTCGTTAGACTTCATGGTGGCTGAGGGAGGTGGTAATTTCAGTTTAGGACAAAGGCAGTTGGTCTGTTTAGCAAGAGCTGTTTTAAGAAATAATAAAATTCTTGTTTTGGATGAAGCAACTGCGAATGTTGATCAAAGGTGAGGTTTTCAAAATTCCTTAATTACTTTCTTATTTGTATAAATTTTTTAGAACGGACTCATTTATACAAACCGCAATTCGACAAAGATTCAAAGATTGTACAGTACTCACCATTGCCCATAGATTGAACACCATCATGGATTCCGATAAAGTTTTAGTCATGAGTTTTGGAAGCTTGGTAGAATTCGACCACCCGCACAATCTGTTACAAATACCAGATGGTTACTTCCATAAAATGGTACTAGAAACTGGTCCTGTTATGGCCATGCAGTTAAAGGACGTTGCACTGGAAGCTTACCTGAAAAAAGAGAATCAAGTGACTGAATTAAAATAAGCAATTTTAAATAAAATTTATTATTGTACTTAACTTTATCAATGTGTTATACTTTTTAAATTATATTAATTCATATCCTTATTATTTCTTCTTCTAAACATTTCGATGTTAATCTTATACTACATACAGTCTTTGTAATACGAATTGGGGGGGTTGGGCGGGGTTGAAATTAGAAAAAAATAGTAAATCAAAAACAAATAATGATATAATTCTAATGCTTAGGTAGGATTTCCCACTCGACCATTCACTGTTAGATTCCAATTAATAAAGCTGTTACTAAAGTAGCACTGAAAACTTTAGTATAGTCTATTTTTATGTACGAGAGAGTATTAAAATAATAAAGCGTTCGTAATCCATAGGCGTATCACTTCTTTTAGTAGACAGTTAAAATATTTTTTGAAGTTATTCCACGAGTATACACTTATATTTTCACCTAATTAACCTGCTTATAACTTCTAAACAGCTGAAGGTAAAAAAGTGCAATTTGTTCTAAAATGTTTTATTTTTCCACAAGGTATGTTAAGAACATTGTGTCAAACGGGTTATGTAGGTATAAGGGTTTAAACTTTGACTTTTAAACAACGTTACGTTCATAAATAATAATTTTAATATAAAAACTACTTCTTACCTACAAATCCAAATCAGAATCGAAATCAGAAGATGAACTGTCGCAACCAATATTTACAATGAGTGGCTCGATCATTTCATCAGTAATATTGTCCAACTTCCACATTTTCTCTTCTTCTTTAATCGTATGATTTACTGCCTTTTCCCAGTTTTCAGGCTTCACATTATTTACAGCCTCCAAAAACAACTGTTTAACATCACTCATTTTAAAAGAATTATTTTTTCTTGAAACTTCTCCCTTTATCTGTGCCCATATCAGTTCAATCGGGTTTACTTCGCAATGATATGGTGGTGATCTAACCACCGTCATCCCACGATTTTTTTGCAATTTCATCAATTTCATATTTTTTTAATTTCTCTTTATGAAGGGAACACAAATGATACAGTTCTTTTCTCACAGAACCGGGATGGAACTTAATATTCTTTGAATTTAGCCAATTCTGTAAATCTTTTTTTAACCACTTGGTTGTGGGCATTTTTCTATAAGTTTCGAAAGATAACTTGCATTATCCATTACTATTATACAGTTCTGAGGAAGAAGATCTATAATTTGTTCGAACCACTCTTTAAAGACATCAGCATTCATATGTCCTCATGGTAGTCACCGGTACGAGAAGATTCAAAAGTCAATAAACCACCTTTAACAAAACCGTTTGAACTACCGATGTGTACTATTATTAGTCTGCGCCCCTTTCCTGATGGTGGATTTAAATCAGTAGATAAATTATTTAAAAAAGCCTGTCTTCGACTTGTAACAGTTTCATCTTGCCAAAATTTATTTGGTTTATGTCTCCCGTTGATCCATGTTTCATCTAAATCAAATATATTTCTTCTGTGGTTTCTCATTTCTTCTATAGTCCTTAGGTAATTTTTTCTCCATACTACAATATCGCTTCTTTCTATTAAAATAGACTTTATGGAATGCTTTTTCCATAGAAAACCTATTTTAAAAGTTTCCATAGTGTGCTTCGACTCATTTCAGGGTAATCCTTATCATCTCGAACCGTGGTAAGAACTTTGTCTACTGTCAGAAATTCTTTTCTAAAGAAGAACTCATGCACTTTTCCTTCGACGTCTTTCTTTCAAAAGATTTTCTAATTGAAATTTTGGTTTTCCTGGAGCTTTACGTGTTGTTTGAAACTCGCCACATTTCTCTTCTTTAACAACTCTGTAAATTGTAGATTTCCCAACACCAAGCGTACTACTAACTAATTCCACTGTGTCATCAACACTTTTACATAAATGTTTGTCTGTAAATGATTTAAAACAATTAAATATTAATGTTTTTTCATTAACTGTTAAAGGACCGATTTTTTGTCGTTTACGCGGCCCTTCCAAATTTTCCATGATCACACTAGAATTGACACTGCACCTTGCAAGTTGCAACTATTATGTAAAAATATTTAAAATGACCGTACTAAGTTTTGCATTAGAAATGCTGTTTTATTACTCTCTCATACATAAAAATAGACTTTTTTCTTTATAGAGGCATTTTTCATCTTTATTTAATGAACATACACCGGATCTTCAAGATGCAGCAGCAATTTTTGACATTGCCCCCTTCGGTTAATTTAAAATGAGCCTACTATAAGTTCGAAGGTGTATATCCTAAAACCCCTTCTGCAAGAACCTGCCTCGAAACCTCCTGAAAGTTTTAAAGATAGTGAAGTTTTGTCTGAATCGGAAGAAACATCTTTAATATCTGATTCAAAGGGACTTAATAATGAGCAGGATCTTCAAAACCAATGAATTCTCAAAATTGAAAATAAACCGAAGGTATATTTAGGATTGCCCAACAGTGTTTTTAAAATCCTCAATATTTATGAGAAGAAAGTGTAGCTTACATAAACCTTTTACATTTCTGTGTGAATCAGTGGTATTTTTAACTTAAAAGAACTCATTTTGTAAGACTAAATACCAAATAATTTAATAAACTGTTTGTTTTATTTTTTTTTTTGAATAACATCACATTTCAAAGATTATCAAATACTTGAGTCATTTATATATGGGTTGTTTTTTACTGTAAAGCCATATACATGTCCTAAATTTAAATAAATGCGTCGTTTTAAGGTGGACGCCCAATGCGTCAGCAAGAAAGAAAAGTTTTCCCTGGATTAAATGGAAAAATTCAAGATTCATTAGCTATTCGCCTAGACAAACAGCTACGATTTTGGACCTAACATTTTCTACTTCTGGACATCATATCTATAATTTGCTACTCGCCCCTTGCGTCGTTATCGTACCAAAACTTTTAGTCTCTTCCTGACACATGTGTATTATTTTTGATATGACTTTCAAATTTTTTCTACAACTATTTACAGTACATAGTTTTTTCAGATTAAGATTAGACAATAATAGAATATCTTATCAAATAAAGTGCAATATTCAGTGTGTTGATTTAAACAAATTCCATTCTTTTAATTTAAACAAAGAGAAATACTGTATTTGTCAAATGGACAAATATTAGATATCAAGGTTATTAATTGTATATCAAAACAAATAAATTTAGACCTTAGGCATATGTATACATTCTATACATGCTATAGGGTTCCATTATTATACACTAATACAACTGAAAAAATATAAGTTTATAAAACTACAGAGAGTTAGCATTAGATTGAACAGGGAACGAATAATATCAGCTATGGGGGTCTGAGTTATCATTTTATTTTGAAAAAGGGGTCTCTTGCGCAAAATAATTGTGGAATCCCTGGTTTAGAAAGTAAATTCAGATAACCAGGACTGCATTTAGGAGTTTCAGTTGTTAAGTTGATTTTTATACGCATTTTTTAAGAATTATACCTAGTCAATACATTATAAACACAAGGGATATGTAAGGAACGTGGGAATGCCTTGGTATAGACTAAAATATCTACCATATTTTAATTTTTATGTTTTGGAGTCCGGAAATTGTCTGTGTTTGTGTGTCTGTATATATGAATGTGGTAGAAATTTAAGACAACTGTTTAGAAAAAAAGTAATATTTTCTTCACAAAAAACTGTCTGTATTCTAATCATATGCTGATTAGCTTTTGTTGGATATCGAACGGTGACAATGAGAATGTGATAGGTTGTTTTGTAGGGTTGAATATTTCGAATATACATACAAATTTAATAGGCAAGCATCAATCAGATATAAATGGAAATTTTCAAATAGCAACACTGAACATTTTCAATTTTCCTACTAAGACACAAAGGTATAATATATATTTTTTTTAAACAAAAATTTAGAATTATAAAAACAAAAATAAAATAAGAAAATAAAAATTCAATATTTGCAACACTACATTTAAATAGTATTTTGTGCCTCAAGAGTAGATATGATGACCATATCGCAAGAAAAAGAAGTTTGTGCACCAGACGGTAAGCGGAGTACTTAATTATTAATCAATCTTGATCCAACCCAAATTTAAGTGGGGAACAGGACTTTATTTTTGACTAGCCCCATTTTTATTTATTGACTTACAGAAATCAAATCTACAAATGAAGCAAACTTAAGTTTATTCAAATTTGTAAATACACAAATAAAAAAAATATTGAAGAAAAAAAGTATTTTTATATTATGACTAAAATATGTCGGATTAGAAAAAATATGTTACAAACTAACTCCTAAGATAAAAAAAAACATTACAGAAATTTTCTCATGACTAATACAAAATGATTTTTTGCTTGGTGTAAAATATGTAAAACGTATTTTGTCAATTTAAGACGACCACTCTTATAGTCTATTTTTATGTATGAGAGTATTAAAATAATAAAGCGTTCGTAATCCATAGGCGTACCACTTCTTTTAGTAGACAGTTAAAATATTTTTTGAAGTTATTCCTCGAGTATACACTTATATTTTCACCTAATTAACCTGCTTATAACTTCTAAACAGCTGAAAGTAAAAAAAGTGCAATTTTTTCTAAAATGTTTTATTTTTCCACAAGGTATGTTAAGAACATTGTGTCGAACGGGTTATGTAGGTATAAGGTTTTAAACTTTGACTTTTAAACAACGTTACGTTCATAAATAATAATTTTAATATAAAAACTACTTCTTACCTACAAATCCAAATCAGAATCGAAATCAGAAGATGAACTGTCGCAACCAATATTTACAATGTGTGGCTCGATCATTTCATCAGTAATATTGTCCAACTTCCACATTTTCTCTTCTTCTTTAATCGTATGATTTACTGCCTTTTCCCAGTTTTCAGGCTTCACATTATTTACAGCCTCCAAAAACAACTGTTTAACATCACTCATTTTAAAAGAATTATTTTTTCTTGAAACTTCTCCCTTTATCTGTGCCCATATCAGTTCAATCGGGTTTACTTCGCAATGATATGGTGGTGATCTAACCACCGTCATCCCACGATTTTTTGCAATTTCATCAATTTCATATCTTTTGAATTTCTCTTTATGAAGGGAACACAAATGATACAGTTCTTTTCTCATAGAACCGGGATGGAACTTAATATT